ATGGGCAGCAGGCCAGCTTCATGAAAGCGAGCTACCTTTTCAACGGGTTCATGCACATCTTCGAGGACCACAGGAACTTCCTCCCAGTCGCAGCCCGCGCACTCAAGAGTTGGGAGCGCATGGGCTTCGGCGGGGAGGGCGAGCCTATCCCGATGGAGGCGATGGGGACCATCATCAAGGCGTTCTTCGAGCGCGGCATGATCATTGAGGGCGCGGCCGCGCTCGTGCAGGACGGGTGGTTGAGAGAGCAAGACTGGTGCCAGCTGCGGAAGAACGACGTGAGCATTGACAGGGACGGGCGGGTCGCGCTACTCCTTGGTAGACGAGAGCGCGGTGAGAAAGTGAAGACCGGTTCCGACCAGGGTGTCGAGCTCAAGATGAAGGTTGCCAAGGCCATCATGGAGGTTCTTGTCTCGGTCATCTCGGACCAAGAGCTCGTACTGCCCGTGAGCCAGGGCAGTTTCAGGCGCTCGTGGGGCAAGCTGCTGGGCGAGCTGGGTTTGGAGCACATGGGGCCTCCGCATGGCATCCGCCACGCTGCGGCGGCCGACTTTGTCGCAGCGGGCGGAGGACTGGAGGAGGCCCGCAGACGCGGGCGTTGGAAGACCCCATCAGCTCTGAGCCGATACACCAAGGTCCGCACGCTCATCAGACGCCGTTCACAATTGCCATCGATGACGATGGAGACGGGCCGCAGCTTTTGGCGTCAGCCGGCCAAGCAGCTGAAGGAGGCAATCATGAACTCACCCGAGTCCGACACCCCGCTTGCGAAGCTGCTGGTGCAGAAGCTCGCGCGGGTCAGAGACGATGAGGTGCAGGTTTTCGACGAGGGCCAGTCGAGCAGGTCTGAGCCATTCGGCAAGCCGTCCAGCGCTCATCGGGCGCGCGCTCGACGCAGGACCTAAGCGTTGGCGCCTCTCTTGCCTCCTTCCTTCGCCTCGCTCTCACAGTCAGTAATGGGGGGACTTGTGGGCTAGCCATAAGGGGGTAAGTCTGGGTTTTTAACTTATATCCTTGTTTCCCTCCCTCCCCCCCTATTGGTTTGCTGATTTTGGAAGCAGGCTGAGGGCCCGTCGGGCCAGATGCTTGCGTTGCGGCGTGGACGGGTAATCACGATTTACTTTAAGTTCTGGGCGTGCCCCGTAATGTAGATTGCGGGCCTGCTCGAGCAACGGCCCGAGTTGGCGCGCGCCTGGCATCTCTCGAGATTCGTGTTTGGAAGATCTTCGGGCGAGGTCGCCCGCTGGTGTGAAAATGGTTCGCTCTTGTATTCGGCACTCCTGTCGGAGGCCTCCGCCCGACCCCCTCTTGTGGCTGGCCCCTCCAAGTAGCTGTACAAACATACATAACTGTTTTCAAACAATCTTTTATGTCGCAGTGTGCGGGGTCGTGGGCCGTCTGTATTCTCCATATCTTTGTATGTGCTCATAGCTTTTTCGGTCCCGCCCCCCCTGCCCTTGTGAAGGGTAGTCACGATTTGCTTTAAGTTCTGGGCGTGCCCCGTAATGTAGATTGCGGGCCTGCTCGAGCAACGGCCCGAGTTGGCGCGCGCCTGGCATCTCTCGAGATTCGTGTTTGCAAGATCTTCGGGCGAGGTCGCCCACTGGTGTGAAAAATGGTTCGCTCTTGTATTCGGCACTCCTGTCGGAGGCCTCCGCCCGACCCCCTCTTGTGGCTGGCCCCTCCCCGTAGCTGTACGAACATAAAATGTTGTTGATGGGGAGAGGCGTCTGCGACATGGAGATGGTGCCAGAGTCGAATAACATGTTGCTGGCCCTCTCCTGATGCCCTTCCCGTCGCCCATGGCTGCCTCGGCTCGAGGCGGCCAGCCAGTTTCACTTACCTTTCTGTGAAGAATGATGTTGTGGCGCGGTCTCGCGCTGTGTGCTTGAATAGGATAATCCTGATCTACTGCGAGGCTACCGCCACACCGCTGATTCGATCCGGGGCACGTGCGCATTGCGTCAGGTGCGCCTGCGCACGTGACACCACACATCGGGAATCACGTCGGCCCTCGCCATCTTTCTCGAACAGCAATGCCCATCATTCTGTCTGGTGGGCCTGCGCACAACAGATGGCCGCGCATGATCCAAATTTAGCCGCGAGCTGCATGTTTTTTTTTGTTGTTCAGGGATGGTAGCCCTGCGCGCGGCACGGAATATATTGACACCTCCGCCGTCCCTGTCAAAAACGATATAAACTGTTTGTGGGCCTCACGAACATGATTCAAGACTTTACTTCAAAGTGTCCTTTGTACTTTTTAAAGGGATGGTGGGGGGAGGCCGCGTCGGGTTGGCCGCGCATGCTCCACATCTGGAGGCAGAGTGCGGTTTGTATTGTTTTTGGACAGAGATTGTGGAGGGCGGGCCCTCATGATGTCGGCAGGGTTCCTGCTTGGACGCCGGCCGGGTGGGGGAGGGGGTTTATATTAGTGAAAAGCAGTGATAAACCCCTCCCCGAAGGGGACGAAGGGGTTTGGACAGAGGGGGCCCTCTAAACAACTCACGCCCAGAGGGCTGATGTGATTGCCTCGGGTCGTGTTCACGCGGCGGCACCCGAGATGATTAGAAAAACTGGCCCTGGACCGGGAAATTATTTCTTTGATCGTTTCCCCCCCCCTCCTCCTCGGGCGTGCGCCTGCACAGTCGACGGGCCCGACAGAGTGGAAACGAAACGGAAACCGAATATTCGGAAATCATTGTGTTCATCTTTCCCCCCACGCTCTTTTTTGGCAGCTGGCGCGAAGACCGAGAACCAACGCGGCTTCGGAGGGGTACTCGGCGTTTCTCCATAAGCGTGGCGGGCCATCCCCCCGACGCCTGTCAACCTCGCCCCGTCGTCGCGCCGCGACGGGGGCCGGAACGCCTTCGGCGCGCGGCGGCTGCCCGCGACGGGCCGACGGGGGATCGATGTGGGGCTGTCGGCGGGGGTGACGCCCCCCGATGCTTATTAAAAAACTCGGAGTAGGGCCTCGCCTTGGAGTGTGGATAGAGACGTCGTGTTTTCCTCGGCAGATGTGGCGGAAGGGCGGCGGCAGCCCGCGGAGGTGAGAGTGTGCGCGCCTCCGCATGCGGAGAAGCCGGCGGAGGTCAACCATGGCCCACCAGGTGGTGGTAACTTGTTGAGGCCCAGAACAGGAGCAGGATCCGGAGGAGACGGCGGAGGAGAAGGCAGATGAGGTGGCGCGGGGGAGGAGAGGAGAAGAGGAGGAGGGTGGGAGGGAAGGTGGGAGGGAGGAGGAGGAGGAGGAGGTGGTGGAGGAGGAGAAGGGAGGAGGAGGAGGAGGAGGAGGAGGAGGAGGAGGAGGAGGAGGAGGAAGAGGTCGAGGAGGAGGAAGAAAAGGAGGAGGAGGAGGAGGAAGAAACGGAATAATAACAATAATCTTAATATTGATATTATTAATAATAATAATAGTAGTAGTAATAATATTAATAATACTAATAAGCAGACGAATGATGCTCATACGAATACTCATAATAATAATAATACTACGAATGATTACAATAACAATAATAATACTAATACTAATAATACGAAGACACACAGTACTAATATTAGTAAAATGGAAAATAAACATAACAATACTAATGCTAAGAATATGAATAATAATACGGATCATACTGATAATAAGAAAATAAGACTAATAATAACAAACTACTAATAATACTACTACTATTAATAATACGAAAAATAATACGAAGAAACATAATACGAATACTGATAATAATAATGATAAGACGAATAATACTAGTAATGATACTACTACTAATACTTATAACATCCAGACGCGTACTAACAAGACTAACACTTTTAATAATAAGAAGAACACTAAGAATCCGAATAATAATAGTACGAATGATAAGAAAACTTATAATTTTAATAAGAATAATAATACTAATCATAATAATATTACTAAAAATAGTAACAATACTAATACTCATAATAATACTAGTACTATTAACAATACGAATAGTATTGATAATAATAATACTGCGACTAATGATAATACTAGTAATACTAATAGTACTAATCTTAGTATTAGTACTAATATTATTAATAGTAGTAATAATCATACGAACAACAACAATAATACTACTACGAATCATAATACTAATAGTAACAATAATCATAATACTAATGCTACTAATAATAATGATAATAATAATAACACTAATAATAATACTACTAATAATAATAATGATGATGATGATGATGATGATGATGATGATGATGATGATGATGATGATGATGATGATGATACTAATAATACTACGACTAATAATAATAGTAATAATAATAATAATAATAGTAATAATAATAATATCTCAATGCTGCTACTAAGAATACTAAAACTAATAATACTAATACGAATACGACTAAGAAAAAGACGAACACTACTAATAATAATACTAATAATGCTACGAATACTAAGAAGAAGAGGAGGAGGAAGAGTAGGAGGAGGAGGAGGAGGAGGAGGAGGAAGAGGAGGTGGAGGTGGAGGAGGAGGAGGAGGAGGAGGAGCAGGAGCAGCAGGCTCAGGAGTAGGAGGTGGAGGAGGAGGAGGCGGAGGAGGAGCAGGAGCAGGAGCAGAAACAGGAACAGGAGCAGGATCTGGAGGAGACGGCGGAGGAGAAGGCAGATGAGGTGTCGCGGGGGAGGAGAGGAGGAGAGGAGGAGGGTGGGAGGGAGGTGGGAGGGAGGAGGAGAAGGGAGGATGAGAAGGAGGAGGAGGAGGCGGAGGAGGAGCAGGAACAGGAGCAGAAGCAGGAACAGGAGCAGGATCCGGAGGAGACGGCGGAGGAGAAGGCAGATGAGGTGGCGCGGGGGAGGAGAGGAGGAGAGGAGGAGGGTGGGAGGGAAGGTGGGAGGGAGGAGGAGGAGGAGGAGGAGGCGGAGGAGGAGGAGGAGGAGGAGGAGGTGGAGGAGGTGGAGGAGGAGGAGGAGGAGGAGGAGGAAGAGGAAAAGGAGGAGGAGGAGGAGGAGGAGGGGCCTCGCCAGAGGCGCGGTCGGGCGGATCTGGCGCGGGGCCCAGCGTTGGGGAGCCCGTGACACCGCCCGCGGCGGCGGAGGGCGCGCCAGAGGCGGCAGCCGCAGCGGGCGGCGGAGGAGGAAGGATGGGGAGGAGGAAGTCGGGCGAGTGGTAGTGTTAAGTCGGGCGTGTCCCCCTACAGGAGGAATCTTAGAACATATGCTTTGAACATGGTCCGGGGACGAGTTCTGTCAGTGTGTTGATATCGTTTTCTTTGCCCAAACTATTCTTGTGATTCGTCATGCTGAGCCCGCCTGTATGAGGACACGCCCGACCTGATGGTAGTGGGGGATGACCTGACTTGGGGGGTGAAGAAAAAGGGCCCGACGGGGGCCCTCTGGGGGTGCCCTTTTTGCAGCCAGCAGGCGCCCCGAAGGGGGCCCTGGAGGGTCCCTTTGGGGGCCCTTTTCTTCACCCCCCAAGTCAGGTCACCCCCCACTGCAACCCGCCCGAGGAAGCAGGGAGGGATCGGACGAGGACGAGGACGAGGACGAGGATGGAGGAGGAACTCCTCCTCCTCCTCCTCCTCCTCCTCCTCCTCCTCCTCCTCCTCCTACTCTTCAACCTCCTCATCCTCCTGGTATCTGCCTCTGGGCCCCTTGTTTCACGGTTGAGGCCCAGGGGGGCGGTGAGGGTTGCGTGGCCTCTACTCTAGAGGAGGAGGAGGAGGAGGAGGAGGAGGAGGAGGAGGAGGAGGAGGAGGCGGAATGTACTGGTGCCGCAACCCCTCTTCCGTTTCGCCTGTTTGGGCCTCGTGGGAGGCCCTCATCGCCAGCGCTGGATTCGCCTCGGAATTCTGGTCAGAACACGTCCTGGGAGAGGTCCAGGGTGAAGTGGTATCGGTACCTTTTGGTTATGAGGCACACGGGGACGGTGAGGGTTACGTGGCCTCTCCTCGGGAGCTTTACTGCAATTTTGCTTTGATGGCGTGTAGTCTTGACAGGGTTCGAGCTCAACCGTGTTGTGGCGATGTCGCAGACCGTTTTCACTTCGCTTTTGTTTCAACAGCAAGGGCGGAACGAGACAGAACGAGGGAAAGCGAACAGAAAGCGAGAACTGAACACATGGTCTACCTTGAGCCATAGTTTGTTGTCTCTGTCATGGTTTTCGGGGGCTCGTTGAAGGCGCTCAGTGGCGCCCTCGCTAGTTTTTGTTTCCTCCTTCGAACTATCATCGCCATCTTCCTCCTCTTCTTCTCACGCCGCGTACATCCCGGGAGATCGGTCGATCGTGGCGACCTCGCGACCGCGTGCCGTTGAGCTGCCTCCAAGTGTCGCTAAGTGCCGTTGAGGTGCCTCAGAGTTGCCGCTCAGTGCCGCCAAGTAGGGGGTTATTCTCTTGCACAGCTGTGCTCTAGAGCTCGGACATGTTTATTTTCGTCGTGGTTCGTGGTGGTTCGTCCCCCTCGGCCCCTCCCCTGAGCCTGAGCCCCAGCTCCCCTGGGCCACCCACCCTTGGGACCCTCCCTCCGTCCAGGCTTCCCAGGGCAGCCCCCCTGGGCCGCGGAACCCTTCATTTTCGTCGTGGTTCGTGGTGGTTCGTCCCCCTCGGCCCCCCCCCCCTGAGCCTGAGCCCCAGCTCCCCTCCCTGAGCCACCCTCGACCCCCCCCCCTGAGCCTGAGCCCCAGCTCCCCTGTGCCACCCCCCCTTGGGAGCCTCCAGTCCTTCGCAGCTCCTTTGTGCAAGAGCCAGGGCACGCGTGCCACTTGTTGGTGGACCCCAGGTCCCCAACAACGGCCACATAGTGAGGGGAGGGTTGCCCAGGCGTCCCAAGTGTGGTACGATTAAGTATAGTCCTGGCATCGCTCGGACGTGTGCATTTTTTTCGGCGAGGACCATCGAGGAGCATCCTTGATCATTTGGCGAAAAAACCACGCACGAAGCTGAAAAAACACAGGGAAAGGACGTCCGAGCGATGGCCAGTAGTAGGTTCGCGTGGTGTCGACGCGGCTGCGACCCCGACGCGGGCGATCGAGGTCGAACGCCGCCCGTGGCCCAGGTTGGGTCGATGCGGGACGCCCTTGGCCATCGAGACACCGCCGATCCGTCAGAAGCTCGAGCCACCCACGCGGTATCAGGAGCCAAAGGCCGGGTTCGTCACGACATGAGCCTGCCGCAGAGAGGGTCGGGGCGTTGACCTAAGGAACCCTAAATAAGGAACGAGGTCCCTCCTTTCCCATAAGTTAAACTTCGATTCCCCATCGCAAACCCTGGGAAAACCTGAGGCAAGCTGTGAAACAATCAAGGAACACGGAGCCCCTCCCCAACGAAAAGGGTTCCTTCTTCAAGACCCCGACTGTAGGGTCGGAGGATTGCGCCGCATCGCCGATGCATCGGCGATGCACTGGCGGCGTCGGCGACGCCTCGGCACCGTCAGCGTGGAGAACATCGGGCTCTGCATCGGACCACAGCGGGGGCGTGGCGAGAGTGCACGGAGCGTCTCCAACGGCCGCCGGAGGCCCCAGTTATTTAATCGCTTCGCTCATGCCGCCGGCCCTGGAGCCCTCTTTAGGGCCTCTTGGGGGCCTCTTGGGGACCTCTTGGGAGTCTCTTGGGGCTCCTTGGCGGCGTTTTGGAGGCCCCCAGGGCCTCTTGGGGGGCTCTTGGGGGTAGTCGATTGCGGCTCCCCCCTCGGAGGCCACGATCCTCGTGAGGGGTGTCGAAAAATACCCTCCCCTGGAGTGGTCTGGTGGCTTCTCCCGGGCTTCTCTCGGGACCTTGCCGGGGTACTTTTCGTCCGGGGGCCCCCAGGGGCCGCTCCGCGCGCGCGAACTAGAAATATTGTTAACAAGTTACCGGAGATCTTAGCACGCCTCTGGCCCGTTGGGCCGGCGAATTCAGGAGGGAACAAACACAGACACAATTGATCGTCGATTCCCCGGAAAATATGCGAAAATCTGGGAGGTGGGGGGGAAGACGAAAATCCCCCAAAAATGTAAAAATATGGGGAATCTTGGGATTTGTGTGTATTTATTTGTGTGTCCCTGGGCCCCTTCAGTTATGGCCTGTATCGGGCGTTGCGTAATGAGCGAGCGATCAAAGGGGAGGTAAAGGCGGGGTGCACCCTTTATACCCTTACGGAGCCCCGTGGGGCCCAAAAGGGGCACGAAAGGTGCACGCTTCTTCCGCCCCAGGTTTCGCCCCCCCCCCCCCCCTCCCCCCCCAGGAAGCAACGTCCGACCGAAAATCGACGGGCCTCCAAGATGGGGTCGGAGGATCGCGCCGCATCGCCGATGCATCGGGGATGTGGCTCGATGTGGAGCCCGGTGTTCTCCGCGCCGACGGCGCCGAGGAGTCGCCGACGTCGCCGATGCATCGCCGATGCATCGGCGATAAATCGGCGATGTGGCGTGATCCTCCCACTCTATCTACACTGATCCCATTTTGGAGGCCTCCAGTTTTGTTTTGAGGAGGAGGGCGAGGGCTGAGGGATTAGGAGACGATTGCCGACCAGACTGTAAATCACATCGATTGGCAATTGACGAGAACGGAGTCCCTGGACCGTCGCGGTGTGAAGCACAGGGACATTCGATGTCAACGGCGAGAAGTACAACCACGTTCCTGGAGGCCCACTCATGGGCTGAAAAGAATGCGCCTTGTCTTTGCAAGCTAATCACTTCCATGGGACATTGACGACGTAACAAGTCGAAAAACATAAAGTCAATTACCCCAGTGCGACCCTACCTAGAAGTTGGAGCCCCCAGGAAAGCAACATCAGTTGCTATGCTACGCTATGCTATGCCATGCTATGCTGCGCTATGCTATGCTATGCTATGATATGCTATATTGCGCTATGCTATGCTATGATATGCTATGCTATGCTATGTTATGCCATGCTGCGCTGTGCTATGCTAAGCTATGCAATGTTATGCTATGCTATGCTATGCTATGCCATGCTGCGCTGTGCTATGCTGTGCTGTGCTGTGCTGTGCTGTGCTGCGCTATGCTATGCTATGCTATGCTATGCTATGCTGCGCTATGCTATGCTATGCTGGGCTATGCTATGATATGCTGTGCTGCGCTATGCTATGCTACGCTCTGCTATGCTGTGCTCTGCTATGCTAACGCTCAGCGGAGCTGAGATTAAGGTAAGCTAAGCTAAGATACACCTGAGATAAGATGAAGCTAAGCTAAGCTAAGATGAACTAAGCTAAACTAAGATGAGATAAGCAGCGCTAAGCTAAGGGGACGTAACTCGGGGAACCGCGGGGCGGATACTGGGGGAACTGCCCAGGGCGCTTTCCACTGCCAGGCCCCTTTAAGCCCAGAGAGTAAGAACCCTTCTAGGCAGAGCCTAGGTAGGGAACAAGCATACGTATGCGATCACCCTCAGGGTGAGACCTCACCTAGTGAGATCGCGCGACCAACTGATCACAACTGCGATGATTGTGATGGTGGCGATGCTGGTGGTGCGCTCACGAGTTGGCGACGATGCAAGACGACGATGCTGACGACAATGCATGATGGCAATGGGACACCGACGGGACACCGACGGGAGACCATGGGACACCGACGGGACACTCACTCCATCGCAGTCCTTTATCGGTACCCTTATCGAAGTCAATCTCCATCTCACTACCGATCTCACTATCGAATTTGCCCGAAGCTTCGAATTCTGGTTTCCTCATCCCTGCGCTCGTGCTGTCGTTGATTTTGCCTCGGGATGCTCGCGGCCACAAGTGACATCGCCTGGCTGGATGTTGTGTGTATCTATCGGACACCATCAGGATACCAAATGGGACACCAATCGGGATACCAAATCGGGACACCGACGGGACACCAATCGGGACACCGAAGGGACACCGAAGGGACATCATTCGCTCAATATCACAGTCGATCCCGTGGCCGGTGATGCTGACATTGAAAGCCGTTTGGGGTATCGGGTTCTCCGATCCCTCCCCAAATCTCATTATGGACACCAGCAGGACATGATCGAGACACCATCGAAACATCACGGGGACACCATCAGGACACCCATCGGGACACCAATCGGGACAACATCGGAAGACCACTCGGGGCATTTATCGGGACACCACCGAGACAATATCGAAACACCACCAGTTCACCATCGGGACACTAATCAGGACACCAATCGGGACACCAATCGGGACATCAATCGGGACACCAATCGGGGCACCAATCAGGGCACCATCAGGTCACCATCGACCTCACTATTGATCTCATTATCGATCTCATTATCTCGCTATCGGTCTCACTCGATTGATCCCACCATCGCCTTCAGTCGATCGATCTCACTTTTGACCGCACTCTAGATCTCACTAGTGATCTCACTATCGATCTCACTATCGATCTCACCATCGATCTCACCATCAATCGCACTATCGGTCTCACTATCGATGACACCACGGGACACCACGGGGGATTCTAACATGACTGCACGAATTGCGTACCACCTGAAGGAAGACATCATTTGATAAATCCACGGAGTGCCCGTCCATTGGAGTGCATGGGAGTGGCGGCTAAGGGGTATGCTTGGATCTGCGCCCTCTGGTTACCCTGCCACCACAGATAAGAGCAATGACGTCAAGAACGGCCCTGCACTCAAGGTCCTTAACAAAAATATTGGCCGAGCAGATCACGATGCCCAAGACGAAGGGAACCAGCATTAGCGTGGCAGCGCCTTGTGCTTGTCCATGGTTTTTCCTTGGGCCCAAGCCCTGCGGTTGCCCTGCCACCACCCCGAACAGCCGTAGCTCCATGGACCCGTGTCGTTTTGGCGGCCGCAGCGAGCGGCTCCATCACAAGCCCCGAGGTTTGGTAAGTCCCCACTGAGCGAACGACCCCAACGAGGTGCTGACGGCACGGCTTGGGCCAGTCTGGCTTTGAGCAGGAGTTGGGCTGACCCTAGATGCTTGAGATGAGGGCGTGTGCGACGTGGGGCTTTCCAATGAGCGTGCTCCTGTCTTTTCTGGGCTGCTCGCGGACAGCGTCGTGGACCTGCTTTCAGGTCTCGCGTGTGCCTCCGCACGGAGTCAAGTCAGCGACTAACAAGACGAGTGAAGACTTGGCACGTCTGAGAGGAGGGCGATGGAGAAGGGCGGCCGACGAGGAAGGCGAGGGGGAGGAGCAGGAAGAGGGTTGGAGGATGCCAGGGGGCCAGTGGGGCGAAGAGCGTAGATGGGGATGATGCTGGAGGGAGGAGGGGAGGGGGGATGTGATGAGAAAAGCGACGATGAGGGCGACGTCCAGGGAGAGGTGGGTAAGCAGGAGCAGGAGGAGGAAGGGGAGGCGGGCCAGGAAGAGTTGGGAGGGAAGCTTCCTACTCCTTCCCCGTCCTCCGCTTCCTCCTCCTCCTCCTCCTCCTCCTCCTCCTCCTCCCTCCTCCTCTCTCCTCCTCCCCCTCGCCCTCCTGCTCCTCCTCCTCCTCCTCCTCCTCCTCCTCCTCCTCTTCCTCCTCCTCCTCCTCCTCCTCCCAGCGCACTCACTCACTCACTCTCACTCACTCACTCACTCACTCCTCCCTCGTCCTTCTCGTCCCTCTCCTTCTCTCTCTCCTCCTTCTCCTGCCCCCTCACTCCCAAAAACGGAGCGGGGAGGCCTCCTCCTCGTCCACCTCCCCTCCTCCTCCCCTTCCTCCTCCACCTCCTCATCCTCCTCTCTTGGTTGATCCAGGCCTTCCAGTTGCAGTTCGGGCAGGGCGCCTTGGGTCACAGGAGGTTGATGCTTTGACGCCTGTCGCGCTCTTCCCCGCAATCCACCCGACGGGCAAAATTTGTATCCATATCCACTGCGTCTTGGAGTTTCGGGTTCCCTTCCCCGGGAACCAGAGGCGCAGTGGATATGACCAAAAAGCTTGCCCCCTGAGGCTAGACTTGTACCAATATCCACTTCGCCTCGGCCTTTTTTGCCGCCCCCCTCCCACAGAGTCCGAGACGCAGCGGATATGGGTACGGCTGGATCGAGGCACAAGATCGAGGTTGGTTCGGGGAGGGTATCGGAGGTGATGGGGTGAGATCGAAGTGGAACGGGAAGCCCCCCTACCGGGAAATCGATTTCGGTTTCGTGTTCGTGCGTGCCGTGCGTGCGGGCGAGGCGAAGCTGCGTGGGCGGGCGAGAGAAAGTCTCCTGTGGCTGAGGCGCGGCCGGACCAAATGTCTCCCTTCCGGGCGGCCGGGGGCCCGCGGTGTCCCGCTGGTGTCCCGCTGGTGTCCCGTGTGGCTGAGGCGCGGCCGGACCAAATGTCTCCCTTCCGGGCGGCCTGGGGCCCGCGGTGTCCCGCCGGTGCCCCGTCGGTGTCCCGATTATGGTGATGATATTGATGATGATGATGGTGATGATGATGACGATGTTGATGTTTTGTTTTGATGATCGATAGTGAGATCGGTAGTGATATCGATTGTGAGATCGAACGTGAGATCGAATGTCAGATCGCTTGTGAGATCGATTGTGAGATCGATTGTGATACCGAATGTGAGATCGATAATGAGATCGATAGTGAGATCGGTTGTGAGACCGAATGGGATATCGATTGTGAGATCGATTGTGATATCGATAGTGAGATCGATAGTGAGACCGAATGTGAGATCGATTGTGGAATCTATTGTGAGATCGATAGTCAGATCGATTGTGAGATCGATCGATTGAGTTAGTAGTGAGATCACTATCGGTAATGAGATCGGTAGTGATTTCGATAGTGAGATCGATGATGAGACCGAATGTGAGATCGATTGTGAGTTCGGTTGTGATATCGATAGTGAGATCGACCGTGAGATCGATAATGAGATCGAAAGTGAGTTCGATAGAGAGATCGATAGTGAGGCCGAATGCGAGATCGATTGTGAGATCGATTGTGATATCGATAGTGAGATCGATAGTGAGACCGAATGTGAGATCGATAATGAGATCGATAGTGAGTTTGATAGTGAGATCGATAGTCAGATCGAATGCGAGATCGATTGTGATATCGATTGTGAGATCAATAGCGAGACCGAATGTGAGATCGATTGTGGGATCGATTGTGAGATTTATTGTGAGATCGATAGTCAGATCGATTGTGAGATCTATCGATTGAGATCGATTGTGAGATCGGTAGTGAGTTCGATAGTGAGATCAATCGAGTGCGACGTTGGTCCCTCCCCCCCCCCTCACCTCCTTATCACCCGAAGGGTGGTCTATGCGGTCTTATAAGGTTTTTCACGTTCGCTGCACGTTCTCGTGCATCCTGGGCAAGGGTGCCCCGAAGGACGGCTTTCCTGTCCCAGCGGAGGGCCTCATGTTCTTGAATGATGCTCTCTTTGTCTCGGGCCGGGCGAAAGGGGGGGATTGGGAAAGGGGGGGGTACGAAATTTGCTGCATGCAGCTGGTTTCGGCCTCACCGAGGGGCCCGTTCCTCGATACATGGGCGCCTCCCGGCGCCGGGAAAATCAGCTACGTGAGCTGATTCTCAAACCCCCCCTTTGCTATCCCCCCCTTTCGCCCGACCCGATTGTCCCTCTTCCGACCGTGCAGATCTGACCCGACTGCCTGCTCTCCTCGGCAGGCCCACCATGGCCGCCAAGAGGATGCTCCGAGCGGCCCCGCGTGGCGCAGATTCAGCACCGGCGACGGCCGAGGTGGGCGGCTCGTCGGCCGCTGCGTACCGTCGAGGCCGATCAGCAGGTCGGCCCTGCCGAGTTCCAAGGGTGCCCTCGTGACTCGTGCCCTGTGCTTCGCGACCCGTGCCTTCCACGTTCCCGTGGCAGTGGGGCCCTCGGACGGGCCTCGTGTCCTCTCGCCGACGGTGTCGTGGGGGGGGCGACGGGTGGGGGGGTGAAGAGATCGGGCGACGAACTCTATACATATCCACTGCTCCCTGACCATGCCCATCTTGAACCCAGGAGCTGTGTATGCGCCCTCCTGGCCAAGCCAGGAGGGCGTGGCGTATACACCGCTGCGGGGTTGAGGATGGGCCTGGCCAGGGAGCAGTGGATATGTATAGATTTCGTCGCCCTAGGAGAGAGGTGCACCACTCTTGCACCTCAAGGGGCCCTAAAACGAAGCCCACACCGGCGGGCACGAAGAGGGCACGCTCTTCGTTGCCGCCCCCCCTCCCCCCCCCCGATTCCTCGCCTCCCCATTCAGCAACGCCCAGGGTCGGGAAGGAGGAGGAGGTGGAGGAGGAGGAGGAGGAGGAGGAGGAGGAGGAGGAGGAGGAGGAGGAGGAGGACGACTGGCGGCAGCCAGGGAAAGGATCGTACGGCACGGGAGCAGCAGGCGATGCCGATCTGTGGATGTTCGTTTTGTACGGGTTGCATGCAACTGGTGGGGTAAACTTCGATGGATAACAGGAGGAGCAGCGGAACAGCAGCGGGAAGAGGGAGGGGGATAGCATGAGGGAAGGAGGAGGCGAAGCTCGGAGCAGTCCGTGCCATCTTCTCCTGGCTACAGGAGCGGGCCCTCGTCGCAGTGGCTGGACCTAGCGTGGCAGATATTTCGTGGCAGTGCCTTGCACTGCCAAGTGATATCACAACGGGAAAGAAACAAATAGCTAGGCACCTAGGCAGGAGGAGGATGAGGCGGCAGCGGTAGAGGATCATCAGAGTTGAGAGGATGAGGCGGCGCTGGAGGAGGAGGAGGAGGATCAGGACGAGTGTAAACCCAAGAGTCATCAACGATGATGGAATGAAGCCTCACTCCAAGCTCCCTCTTCATAGGCGCCTACATCTGGTCATTTCCACTGAGGGGACTGCCTCTTTGGAAAACAACTGTTTGAAGACCCTGAAGAATGCCCAAACATCGTTCTCGGGATCCCAATACCACGGATCAACCTGACTGTTGCGTCTTGACGATCCTGAGTCGTGCCAGAACGCCATTCCTGGGACTTCCACACCGCGAATCAACGTAACTGCTGCACCCTCATAATCCTGAGTCCTTCCACCATGCAATTCCTGGTACGTTGTTCATTGGAATCCGTGAAACTCTTGCAACGCTTAAATACGAAAGTGCGCGGCGCTAAGGCGAGAACCACATTTTGAAAATGAACCGCCCTCAATCCGGGAAACTCGTGCAGATTTTTGAATTGAACGTGCGCGGTGCTGAGGCGAGAGCCACATTTTGAAAGCGACCCGCCCTCAATCCGTGAAACTCTTACACATCACATGTGTAAAATGAATGTGCGCGGCGCTAAGGCGAGAGCCACATTTTGAAAACCACCCGCCCTCATTCCGTGAGGCTCTGGCAAGTTTAAAAAACGAATGTGCGCGGCGCTAAGGCGAGAGCCACATTAAAAAGTACTCGCCCTCAATCCGTGAAACTTTTGGGATTTTTCAAAACGAATGTGCGCGGCGCTAAGGCGAGAGCCACATCTTAGAAACGACCCGCCCTCCATCTGTGAAGCTGTTATTTTTTTTTCAGCTCCTGGGCCGTGAATAGTGAGGAAGTCTCAGGCGAAACGCCGGGCCCGCCCTAAATGCTGGCCGCGGGGTGCGACAGGGAGACTTTATTTATAAGGAAAAGGGGCCGAGGAGGAGGAGGAGAATGAGGAGAAGACGGATGCGAGGGGGGCGTGAGCGGAGGGTGGTGAAGACCAAGACTTGATTTGGAGGGGGAGGAGGAAGAGGAGGAAGGCGGGGAGGATGGATGGATGGACGGATGAATGGATGATGATGCTGATGATGATGGTGATGATACTGGTGATGGTGATGGTGATGGTGATGATGCTGCTGATGATGATGATTATGATGATGATGCTGCTGATGTTGATGATGATGCTGCTGCTGATGATGATGCTGATGCTGATGATGATGATGATGTTGCTGCTGCTGCTGCTGATGATGATGATTATGAGGATGATTCTGATGAAGACAACGGCGATGATGATGATGATGATGATGATGATGATGATGATGATGCTGATGATGCTGCTGCTGATGATGATGATGATGATGCTGATGCTGCTGATGATGATGATGATGATGATGATGATGGGTGGTGATGATGATGATGATGATGATGATGATGATGATGATGATGATGATGATGATGATGATGATGATGATGATGATGATGATGATGATGATGATGATGATGATGATGATGATGATGATGATGATGATGCTGATGATGATGATGATGATGATGATGATGCTGCTGATGATGATGATGATGATGATGATGATGATGCTGATGATGATGATGATGATGATGATGATGATGATGATGATGATGAGGATGATGATTAGGATGAGAGGATGAGGAGGAGGAGGAGGAGGAGGAGGAGGAGGAGGAGGAGGAGGAGGAACAGTATGAGAAGGAGGAGGAAAGTTGCTTGGAGTTCAACCTTCTGCACTCATGGCTGAAGCACTCGCTGTTGAATGCGTCGTTGTGGCTCCCACACACATGCGCACGGCGTAGAGGGGACGTGGGAAGCTGACATGCACAGTGAAGGACGCGTCCGCGCGTACCGCACGGAGGATGAGCGCACGGGGAGCTTCCAGAGGTAGATGCGCGCGAGAGCGCCCCGACTTGCGGTGGAGGAGGAGGAGGAGGAGGAGGAGGGTGGGGGATCAGAAACGTATCACATGCCAGCCGGGCAGCATGAGCGGTGTACCGCTCCGCTACGTCACTGCGAGACCAGGGGCACGGCGGTGGACCTGCTGCCGGGCACCATGGAAGTGGTTTTCTCCCGTAAGCGCTAGCACTGACCGAAGGGTTCCTAGCGTTGCAATTGGCCGATGGGGGCGCCAACCGCCCTCATAATAAAATAATCAAAGTCTGGAAATGGCTTCAGACCAATGCTTCTACAAAGTTCAGGTTCATCGTCGCTGAAGTTTCTAAGTTCGAAAAAAGTTCAACGGTGAAGGGTTCCTAACATCCTGAGCGGGTTTGACCTTTGTTGGAGCCCCCGTATTGGTTTCGCACTTGTTTAAATTTCCAAGCTGCTCAAATTTTTGAACTGTTTCCAGAATTTCTCGAACGTTTATCACAATGTTACCAAGCTTTGTCGAAAGACTTGAACTTTCCTCGTACTATCCCTGAACTTGAGACTTTTTTCGATGTCTTGCTTTGCTTGTTTTCCAGACTCGAACTCAGAATTTTCCTTCCGTCCGAACACACGCCCTAACTTTCTTTGTCTTCCAAGGATGACCGTCTTTGCCGCCCTCAGCCAGATTTAACGGAAATTGAAAGGATAGGCTAAAGTATCCTGACTATTTCGATAGGCAGTCGGCTTCCCAGGCTCCTGAGATTTCGTCAGGTGGTCGGGTTCCTGGGCTCCGGGATACTTATTTCTTTCTGGCAGAAGGGGGGGCGGACCTCCTTAGAATCTTGCCGACCTGGAGTTCTTGTGCGACGCGTAGCTGCACTAGCCTTGGGGCTACGTGCCGAAAGGCAAGGTGTCGGATTTGGATGGGTCCACCGATCCTCGGTACAATCTAAACTATGCGAACCTGTTCCGCAGTGCGGTTCGAGGAACGAGGGAGAACCCGCGCTCACAAAGCAGGCTGCGGTCGGCTTGCACCCATGGCGGGCAAGCATGGTACCTGCCCGAGTTTCGCTTGAATGCGCTGATTGTGGGGTATTTCTGTGTATGTTTCCTCCCCTGGCGTGTTCTTCATGCGGATGAGTTGGATGCGCTTCGATCGTGGACCACTTGTTCGGACATCAATGCGCGGCGCTTCGCTTCAGGAGCCTCATTGTCAGCGGGAGAAAGTCTTGCTTGCCAGGAGAAGGCCCAGGTCGCCAGGGTGGAGCGTATACCTTGGAGACAGCCTAGAAGCCCAAGTCAGGGGTTCTCCAGGACTTCCTGGGGATTCCTTGGGTTGTTAGGTTTTTTCGTTTGGGTGCCCCTCTTGGTCGTGGCCTTCCTGGGACCCTCTGGTTCCCCATGTTGTCTCGAGCCTGCGCCCTGGCCTCTCTCCTGTCTCCCACGCTCATCAACCCATGCGTCTGGCTCCCCCTGCTCTCTCAGCTCTTATTTTCGATCTGGGAGGAGGAGGAGGAGGAGGAGGAGGAGGAGGAGGAGGAGGAGGAGGAGGAGGAGGAGCGCCCCAAACGTGAATGGGGCAGGCTGCTGGTGGTGGTGCGAAGAGCGCGGAGACTGGTTCCTGGAAGCGGACCCGGGGGACTGGCGGAAGTTCTCGGACCCCGCGAGCGGGAGGCACTACTGGTGGAGGGACGACGCCGCGTGGTTCTGGATCGGGTGAGATTCGCCGTGGAGCTCGGGTCGGGCGAAAGGGGGCACCGTGGGCTCGCGTCGTGTCGACCGGCGACCCCGCCGCTGGCGTTCAACGTTGAGCGCCGCCGGCGACCCAGAACCGATTAATGCTGAACGGCCTGATGTCTCGGGAGCGGCCGATCGTTCCAGGTTGAACGATCCCCGCGGCGTCAGAGACCCACGCCGAAGTCGGCACGACACGAACCTGCCGTACTCGGGAAGGAGGGGGGGGGTGCGAGCTTCCTTGCGTGCAGCGGTGCAGCTGGTTTCGGCCCACAAGCCGGCTGCGGCCCATCCGCTGGGCGGTTGTTCTCTATACCTTGGCGCCGGGGAGGCGCCGGGAAGACCAGGTGTTGTAGGATGCAACGCCTGGGGGAGGTTGAATTCAGCATCGGCGCTGGTAGGGGGCCACATGTGAAGCCTACCCCTACCCCCCACGATTTCTGAGGGGGAGGTGGGGTTCACTTCGTTCGGGAGCTCCCGAGCGAAGTGAACCCCACCCTCCCCTCAAAAATCGTGGGGGGTAGGGGTAGGGTTCACATGTGGCCCCCTAGCTGGTACGTCCGCGGTCGAACACCAGCCTAATCCGGCATGATCCTCCTTGCTCCTGCGTAATAGCTTTAAAACTGGCTTAATCCCGGGCTTATTCTTGCTTGGGCCTGTCGAATGGCCCCGTTATTCGGCCTACTCGTTTTTACTCTTTCTCAAGCCTCCTAAAGCTGCGTCAGCTGATTCTCGGCGGCGTGCCCAGGGTGTAAGTCAGAGGGGGCGGGCCTTCTCAGAAGGCTCGGAAAGCCTCTGGCCGTCGTCTGAGAAGTTTTCTCAGCCTTCTCCGAAGGCAGAGACGGCTCCTCAGAAGGCCAGAGGGTTTCTGAGAAGCCCCGCCGCCTTCTCAGAAGGCCTGTCCTTCTCAGTTCCCCCCTGGGCGCGCCGCCAAGATTCGTGTACCCCCCCCTTTATGAATTCCCCTCCTCGTCCGACCCGAGGGGCGCCGGAGGGCCCGACGCCAGCGTGGCAGAGTGGGACGACGCCAATCGTCGGCGGCGGGCGAACGGTGGCAGAGTCCGGGGGGGGGGGGGCGACCTGCGAGGGAGGCGAGTACGACGACGGCGACGGCGACGGCGACGGCGACGGCGACGGCGACGGCGACGGCGACGGCGATAACAACGAGAACGACGAGGGCTCGCGAAGGGCGCTTCGGCCCCTCGGCTAACCAGTGGTGCAGCCCACTGAGGACCGCGGGCCCAAGCGGGGGAGGGGGACAAGAGGAGAGCCCCAAGGAGCCCCATCCTAAAAGGGCGCCGACATTGCTGCAGGAGTCCTCCAGGAGGCTCCCAGAGCGAAAACTCAGCCGCTGCATTTCTGTTTGACTCGCTGTCGTCGTCGTCGTCGTCGTCGTCGTCGTTGTCGTCGTCGCCTTCTTCCTCTTCACACTTCGTGAAAACCGTACAGGGCGCTGTTGCGAAGGGGGGCCTGCCCTTTTGTAGGAAGCCTCCTGCCCTCCAAGCAGGCCCTCCCCTCCTCGCCCCCGACAAAGGCCCTCCGCTTGCCCGCCGCGGGGACGCGGTGCTGGGCCGTTCGAGGCCCGTCGTGGAGCGCCAGCGGACCCCCCAGGCGCGGAGGCGGCTGGCCGCCCTGGCCGCGCGTCGCCCCTCCGCGCGGCGCCCCTGCCGGAGCCCGAAGCCGGAGGGCAAGAGGACGTCGCAGGCCGAGAGGTTCGGGGGTGGGCAGAACCCCCAACAGTGACACGTCGATTAGTGAATTGTCCGTTTTCAGTTTTCGAAAGGGCGCCGTGGCCGTTATTTCCCAGGCTTGCGCCCGCCAGGTTAAGGCCCGAGG